TGGATGACTAGGGTTGAGAAGGTCAGACCCGAGTGATTCATGATGCGCAACATGCAGGTACCCCAGAAGTCAGCACCAAAGCTGAGCTGTCCCGGAGAGGTCGAGACGCCGCTGATCTTGGTCATACAAAAGTCAGATCCAACTCAGAAGTTTAAATCAACCACAATAAGGCTGAGATTGGGATGGTCATCCCGCAAATATATGTTCATCGTGAAAAGAATAGTTGAGAGAGAGAAAATAGGTGCTGGAACTTTCCCACCTTATCTTGAGGAGGTTGAAGAATTGAGAAGCATGGCTTCATCGATGCCTCGATGCCTTTCTGCCACTCTCACGCGCATCTGAATTTCAATATCGACAATGTTTACTCATCAAAAAACTGAAAGCGCTCATTTGACAAAGAAAAAAGAAAAGTCTCACACGCCACTTCTCAAGTCAAATCAAGAATGCAGACCACATCCGAGACATCTCGGAGCAACATCCGATTGAAAAGTGAAAAACGCATGATGTCTCTCGCTGGCTCGGAATGAGCTGACGATGTGCTTGACTTGAATTGGTCTTGTGACCAGAGAAAAGTTCTAGAATGTAGAGGGGCGACTCGACTCGGCTTTCCATTCTTTGTGCATTCTTCGTGAGTCGCGAGTGATTGATTACGGGTATTCCTTGCATCACTAGAATGACCCAGAGGCACCGTACGAGCACTTGCCCATTGGAATACCCAAATCCAGAACGAACTCTGCAAAAGATCGCGAGAATTTCGAACCCCGAGGTACTCCCTCGCAACCTCCCCTAGAATCCCACCCGAGTGCCCACACCCCCCTGAATCTAGACCGCGCCTTAACAATTCACCCATTTTCCCTTCCATCCGGGCACGCTACCCGTCATTACCGAAAGCTTGCCCCAAATGACACCTCTTGGTCAAAGCTTATTAAATTTATTTCAAATCTTGGGGAAAGCTAGCTCGCTGGTTAGTTGTATGCGCTAGCTCCAATTTCCATCCGGACAGGAACGAACGCTGTCGTGCGTGAGGATTTGAGGCTCGTACAGCATCGAGGTGGCACAGTTCGGCGTCCATTTTCGGCAGGGAGGTGGCGCGACAACAGGAGGTGGCTCGGCACGAAGGACAGAGGGACAGTATCAGCCACACAAGGAATCTCGTAACGAGATTCTCAATCTCAACTCAACACCGGAAACGAAGTTACAGAAGGTTACACAAAAACTGAGGCAGTTTCCGCCTTGTCTCAAGTCTTGCTAAGTCTCGGATGACATTGCATAGTCCCGCTCTTGTACCGTGAGAATTACCCATTCAGAGCCTCAGCCATGAGCTGAGCAGGTGCCTCGATTCGAATCCAAATATTCATAAGTCCCAGACAAACGATCGTATCTGGGCTTTTCCTCGCACCCCTATTTTTTTCAACATATTTCCTCGTTATCTACCCGTACAGAAAGTTTGTATATCGGTAGATTCGGTCCATCTGTGCCTCGTCCCCACCTCATAAAATCGTTCTTCCCATGCACATTTCACCCCAGCCAACCAAACCGACCCAATCACTAAATAAAATTAAATAAAATTTTTTAAAAAAAGTGAGACGCCCGTTGGAAGATTTCTCGGTTCCGCAGCGCTGGGAAACGGAAATCCGCTCAATTTCCGCAACGGGCCTTTTTCGAGATTCGATGCTGGGGTGGAAGGGGGGCGGCGGCTGGCGGATCCGGAGAAATCGAGCGCGATGAGATGACTTGTCTGTTCGCCAGGTAGGTAAAAGAGGGTGGAAGCATCGGCTTGGATGCCTGTACGTAGATCATATGTCGCCGTGCTGTTGCCATAGAGGCTTTTTACACCTAAAAGTTTAAGAGCAGGGTGTGCACGTGCGTTCACTGTAGCAACACCCGTCTCCGACATATAGCTGCACGTACAGGCGTCCAAGCCGATGCTTCCACCCTCTTTACTTACATTATTTTGCTGGCTGACGAACATGCATCCATCACGAACTGGCTTCTAGAAGAGGTTTGAGGTCTGTGCTGTGCATAGAGGCTTTTCTGACGGTAACGTCTTCCTTTTAAGACTAAGATGTTGGTGCGAAATTGCTAATTGCGAAAGAATTGCGTGTTGGTGTTTGAGATTCTCCCATTTCAATGTTTGAGGTTGCGCAAGGATTCGGTATTTTGAAGTTTTGGATTGGTGGAGGAGGGGTGCAGATGAAGGAGATGGTAAATTATACCTGGGGTAAGGGGTCCATATTATATCACGGGGATTAGGGTTGCTAACGCGGCACGAGTTGCGAGATGAGAGAGATACATACCCTTTCGGTCCCGAAGACGAGCACTGACTGCACCTGAGAGGTGGCTATCGGTAACCTTTCCGTACACGAAGGTCTAGCGTGGGTGGATCTTTGACGTTGAAATTAAAATACTTTATAATATACTTTATATTATTTAGAGTACTAGTGCGTCCCTAATCCCCAGATTCTCGGTATAATATCAACAAAGGTATAACGTTCATCTGAAGCGAACAGTGAGAGGTGAGCTTCAATCTCATCCATATGAAAGAACTCCCTTCTCTTATCGTTCATCGCAGTTCATCTCATCAGAACCTTGTCATTCTCGCCTCCTCGAACTAGTCCTCATTCCCGAGAATCGATACTGCAACCTCACCTCGCCACGCAAGCACTTCCAATCCATGTGCAAATCACGTGCGGACACCCTTCTCAGACCGTGCCCGAATCCCCGTCGCGGGACAGGGAATGTGCTTCCGCCACAAAGAGGAAAACTGTTTTGCCTCGGAGTGGGGCCTTCCGGAAACGCACGCACTTCCGCTCTTCTCTCCGCCGAGGTATTTTTTTTGTAGGATGGGAGAAATTTCTCCGTCGTTCGTCGAAATAAAATTATTTTCTTCACGATACCCCACAACGAGGGTCTGGGAAAGCTTCATTTCATCTCAGGTGATTTCCGGCTGTGGGGTCCGGCCCAAAAAGGCCTAGGGAAAATAATTTCAAATCTCCTGATCTTTTCACAAATATTTATTCCAAAAATACTTGTAGGGACAATAATAGTCGGACTTAACGTCGCGACTAAAGGGGCCCAACCCTTTAGTCGGGGAAAGCGAGTTGTCCCTGGAAAGCGAGATGTCCCGTTTCGGCCTTTTTTGCCTTCTAAAAAACAATATTAAGAACTAGCTATAGAAAATCTAATTAATACGTTTTATTCGCGATCTCATAGTTACCTATTGCATACTTAAGGGCTAAAGTTATAAGTAAAAGAATAAAAATCTATAATTAAGCAAAAGTCGTAGGTTTAATACTCGCGAAACGGTCGCGAACAAATAATTCTGATGATTTTTGTATTCCTCGCGATTTTATTATTAAAACCTTAATAACTTTCTACCCATATCTTTTTTTAAGATTTAGAGAATTGCATCTAGTTTATAATGCTTATATTTTTAATTCTATTACTTAGAATTATTTAAAAAGGTGAAGGTTTCAAGTTATTAAGGATTTTATTTGGTGCGGGACATCTCGCTTTCCCGGGACAACTCGCTTTCACCGACTAAAGGGTTGGGCCCCTTTAGTCGCGACGTTAAGTCCGACTATTAATCCTCAAGAGCCCAGCCGAGCCAGGCCAAGCCACCGGATCAATGGAAGCATGCTTCCCTCTGTCTCGCCAACCGGCTGAATGGAAAATTTGTTTCCCATTTCCTTCGAGTCGAAGGCGCTGAGTGGCTGCGAGATTTCTCCCGGGGGGTTTGTTTTGCATGGGTGGCTTGGTAAGGATTAGCAAGCGCAGAAAGAAGAATCGTGGCTGGGTCTTGGCTGGCGCCTCGTCGCGTGGGCGTTAACGCTCCGATCTGGGCTTGGTCTTGGCTGCGAGCTTGCGAAATCGAACCTGGAAAAGGAAAAAGAGTGTGGGGAAATCAGGTGAGCGTGAGACATCCAGACATTTATCGGATGTTCGCTGCTAAGGGAGAAGGAAGGCGTATGGGTGCGAGGGGCAACTGGTGACAGGTGCTTGCAGTTACGTACTATCCCCCCCCCGGTTCAAAGCTCCATCACGGTATTGGTAACACCACGCCTGCACGGGCCCTATCAAGGGTCGACAGCGAATAGCAGCTCTCGAAAGCACCTGATATTTCCTAATTCGGGGATATTAACGAAGTTTTGGGGTGGCGTTACTAATACCGTGAGGGAGCTTTGAACCGGGGGGAGGATAGTACAGTCTTTTTCTTGGGATGGGAGCGAAGGATGGCAGTGCCTGGTTCCGAGCAAGCCGTGAAGACTTCCAACTCAGGCACGCCAGCAGGCAAAGCAGAAGCGAGAGCCATCCATCTCACAACTCTCGGTCAGCAAGAACACGAACTCTGAATCCGAATTCCCATTCCGGACCCGTGATTGCTGTCACTCAGCAATTGGTGGAGGGCTAAAGTCCGCTGCTCATTTTGGGCCTGGAGTCGTTGAAATTCAGCCTTTCTGTGCCCTGGAGCTGCAGACGGAGTGGCTGCAGCTCCCCTCTCGATTAGGCTTTGCGAGAGCCAAGACGGCGCCTAGAAGCCTGCACGACTTCTGGTCACTAGGGTAACGGTTCTTAGACGCTGCCAGGCAAGGGCAGTGATGCGACGGGGATGACACGAGTTTCTCGTCGGCCTCGTTTCTGATGTCTGGAAGGGGAGGCCTGCGACGACCATGACATCTCGCTCTTCCAATTCGGGACTTGCTGTCTCGAGCCGTGTTTGGTCTGGGAGATCATTGATCAGCAACTTCAGGATCGGCGTTAAGAATGATGATGGGATGATGTTGAGTGAGACGATCACGAGTCACGCTGTTGTCTCTCTTCCCCGCAAAAATCCCGCCACACGGCTGGCTGGCTTGGCTGGCGGTGACGACACGGACTTGAGAACTGTCATCACTCGGCATCTACCATATCCTTCCGACCGAGAATCCCATCACGACGGAAGAGGGGAGGTCAGATCGGCTCTCCCGAACAGAGCACGCCTCATCTGATTCAAGACAGAGTGAGAGTTCAGGATGGAGCATCAGGCGATACCAACGAGATCATTTCAGCGACTCCTGCTTGCGCTTGATACATTACAGTGCTCGTTCATGGGCAAAACTCTGAGCGATGAGCCCAGAGATATACCGAGAGGGAAGGGAGGTCCCCGAGCCCTGGTGATAACTATTGCATGAAATGCACCTGGTTGCAGTGCATCTTACGTGCTCGCCATGTGAAGTCTGCATCTCTAGTTGAGGCTGCACCCCAATCTGCATATTTCGTTTCCGCAAAGGGGCAACACATTCAGGAACAGCACTCTATCTCTCACGCTCCCGAAAGTGTTTTGAATGTTTGGATATAATTAGGAAAGTATGTTGATACGCCGCCGCCGTGCTGTCGCATCTCGAAGTCTCAGCTTGCGTTCGCAGGCGAAGTGCGCACGCCATCGTGATTGGGTGAGATGAGGATTTCTGGGGAAGAGTTTGCCAAGTCGGTTGATTTGTGTTGTTGCTGGGATGTTTGCGGTTTCCAAACACAAGCCAGTAAGCGGCCCAGTATAGACCAAACTCAAAGAGTCGCTGACAACCTTGACAGCGCATTATCCGGAACCAGAAGCAGACGTTCCCAGTTACAGAGCTGCGAGATGCCACTATAAATGGCCTGTACCGTGCAGCCGGCCCCCGAAGGAACTGCTAAAGTCAAGCACTGGCAGAACAAGTTCTTAGTCAGACATGCAATGAAGTCTACTTATATAACCCTACTGTATCCAAATCAAGTGTAGCTTCTTCCTAATTGCAGCTGCGCCCAGACGTGAAGGAATAAATAGATTTAGGTTTGTACGGTATCATTTCAGTAGACCACTCACTGAACACCCTCAACTGCTGGACCAAGATCAGCAGAGGCACAGGCTGAAGAGGAAATACGATCGTCCGAGCCGAGGGCCAGTGCTGCCTTTTGCAGTTTAGCGTGCTGCTCGAAATTCCCACCCCACCAGCGCCATATCCGCAACATCCATCGCAACCTCGTCCACCTCCGCAAACCACCAGGGCCCCCCAGTTCAGGGCCAATCGACTGTCCCCTGTGTCGGATGCTTGCCCGGGTCTGGTGGTGCTTGCTGGCCATGCCAAACTTCCTGGCTGTCTCAGCCAGTCAGGAGTGTGTCCTGCCCCTGTAGTCGCCGTGCGTCCCTCAAGCGTCAGCCAACAGGCCAAAACCTTCGATGGCGAAGTTCCATCGTTCCATCCTGATGCACTTTGTCTCTCTGACGACAAACCACGGCGGGACAGCACGGATGATCTAGTCAGTGCCCTCGCTCCCGAGGCACCGGGGATCTGGAGACTCGGGGCCTTCTGTGCGTGAAAGGCCAGAACCCTCAGACCGATGAAGTCACGACTCCCGAGGAACTCAGCATGGTTCGAGGGGCGTCTAACTCCAGACCTCTGACTTACCAGAAGGGTATCGGCTGTGTGTCTGTACATTACGGAAATTGATGTATCAACCCACCTCGCTTGCTCACATCCCGTTCCCCATGGTTCGAAGAGCAGGAAGCCGGGGTGCGGCAGGCATGCTAGCAGGCATAGCTGCAGGTGGTCTGGCTATCGGGTTCACAGAAGCTCGTCGTCTGGCAACTCCGGTAAGTGGCCTGCGCTGCTCCGGCACGTTGATTGTTCACAGCCACGGGCCATTGCATATCCTGTCCATATTTTGGCCGAGCTGTTTCTCGAGTGTGGATCGATATGTGAGGGCACTATTCCCCTATTGGAAGCTCATCTGCGCTAGGCCGCTTGTTGAGCTTGTTCCCCAGCAGCTCCACGCGGTGGCAGAGCTCACCCCAGACCTGCTGGTCCGCATGGATGAATTACCCCATTCCCGTCATCCGTCTGCCCTTCCCTGGCCAAAGAACGGCCTATATATGGATGGCTGCCCTCGCCCGTCTGAATTTTATTCCCTCTCCCACTGTGCAAGTTGTTAATTGGGTTCAATCATTCACACTCCCTTACACCGACCAGCCAGCAGTGGGTATAGATAAATAGCAGGACTATCCGGACACATCTCTTGCAAAACACCTCGCATTTTGCTCCCCACAGTCACAATGGCCACTACAACTTCTCACGACGGGCTCAACAAGGACGTTGCCGCTCAAGATCATGCGCCAGTCAATGGCGCAGGAGGCTACAACTATGGTGGAAACCCCCTCGCCCACATGAACACTGGCGACTCTGCTCGATTCCCAGCTTTCGGTGGAGAATTCCAACCCGGTCTCTACAGACCCACCACTGAGCGTAAATTCGCCAACCCAGCTCCCCTCGGTCTGAGTGCCTTTGCTCTCACCACCTTCGTCCTGTCCCTGATCAACATCCAAAATCGGGGTGTCGTACAGCCTAATATCGTTGTATCACTAGCTTTCGGATATGGAGGACTCGTTCAACTGCTCGCTGGCATGTGGTATGTTTTTCTGCCCAGAATACAGCAGTTTCCCCGAAGTCTAATTCTCGAAACAGGGAAATGGCCGTAGGAAACACCTTCGGTGCCACAGCTCTCTCCTCCTACGGAGGCTTCTGGATCTCCATCGGCATCGTGCTCACCCCCGGCGGCTTCGACATCGTAGCCGCATACACGACGACCACCTCGCACGTCAACGACTTCAACAACGCCTTCGGCTTCTTCCTCGCCGGCTGGTTCATCTTCACGACCATCCTGCTGCTCTGCACTCTGCGCTCCACCGTCGCCTTTTTCATGCTCTTCTTTACGCTTGACCTCGCTTTCCTCTTTCTGTCCGTCGGCCACCTGAAGGCCGATGCCAAGGGAAATACCAACGTGAGCTTGATCAAGGCTGGTGGATATTTTGGGCTGTTCGCTGCGTTTTTGGCGTGGTATAATGCGCTGGCTGGTATTGCGGATGATAGGTAAGAAGAGCCCCACAAAATCCCCCCTCCACATCCAAAAAACCCTCCCCGGAAACATTTTACCCGAGACAATCAGCCTGTTCATATATCCTGGTTGAACATATTTACCCAATATCACCTCTCAAATTATGGGATTGGCATGGCAGATGGCTAACATGTGACCCGTATAGCAACTCCTTCTTCGTCATCCCCGTCGCGCACTTCCCATGGTCCGTCAAGGGCCGCGAGCGGAGAGCCGTCGGCAAGACTGAGCGTGAGACTGTCTAAGTCCCCTCTGTACTTCAAATGTTTGCTTTGCTACTGAATTGAATTGGAGGGATTGGATTGGGTGGTGTTTTTGACCTAGGACTTGGACATAAGGCTACGAATATACCTGAGATATGGGGACTGATACCTTTTGATGGTGACAAGGGGAGGGGAACATGAATTACAAAAATATCCAGCAACTTGGAAATGGGTTATGGCGATACGAAGCTTACCTCTAATTGTTCAAAGTTTACCTTTTTATGTAAACCCTTAATCTTGAAGCCTTCATTCTCGTAGTGATCAATTTTGCAGTTATCCTCAAACTCGCTCGTGGGGATGCTGACGGGTGTCAGTCAGCAAATCCTCACTCATGTCAATCAATTCTCATGTCATTCAATTCTCAAGCAATTTATCCTACACTCCCAAAATCACGTCAATCTGCAGTCAATTAATTTTCTACCCTTTACTTTCGCATTCGCTCTCGCATCTGCTTACGAGTTTCCTGTCTTGAAGTTCGTCGGAACTCAAACATCCAACGCTTTAGTCCAGCCGGGGGTATGACGTTTCTTCCGCAGCTTCCACGCTTCCGCCGCACCTCAGAAACATACCAGCATCCATCCCTCCCTCTCCCTGAAGTGCCTGCCAACCAAAACCAAAATCAAACCGGATGGCAGATCACACACTCTCCCTTCAAACCCGCAACCGCACCTTTCATTCCGTCCTTTCTCTTTCTTTTAGACATCCCACCAAACCGATACCTGGAGAATGGCGATCATACTACTCGGCGCTGACTGATGACGGCGAGGAGAAACAATCCCCCTCCTGCCGCCCCGGTCGCCCAGATCTACATACGTCCGGTAGCCAGGCCGGTCCAAAGACCGAGTCGCGGCCTGAGCATGGAACGACCTCCTTCCGCGCTTCCTCCCTTTCTCCTTCAAACAACCCTTTCCCTCGTACTCTCCCGCACATGCCATTATTCCCAGTTTATTTTCTTCTGAAGACTCAGAATACGATTTTGAGTTCGCGGTTATTTTTAGCCTGCAGCAGAAGCAGTCGGAAAGCGAACGCTTTTAGATGCTGGGCTGTCAAAGCGTACAGTAGCCAGCGCTTCGCATCAGTAGAGCTCAATTGGGCGACTGGGGTGACGGAGTGACAGGCTTGAGCGGATCGGAGCGGGGTCGCCAAGGTGGCGATCCCTTGCGTCATGGCTCGTTTTGTGGTGGGGTACGGCATGGCGTCGATTCTTTGCTTTTTCCATCGGGTCTGGGATTTGAGTTACTTTGCGCCTTCGGGTTGGCGGTTGGCGTTGCGGGGTCATGTGGCTGCTTGGGGGCCAATGATCTTTTCTGTGGATGATCTAAGCTTTTTGGTGGTGAGTGGTGAGGTAGGTGGGATTTTTTAATTCCTTTTTGGCGGATGGGGAGGGAGGGGCGAATGAGGTGTGTTTGCGATGCAGTGAGTCCGAAGGCGGGGTTTTGAATGGCTGGCAGCTTGGAGGCACCAGGAGGTGCATGAGGTGATTGTAGGTGCAGGTGCGATTGTCGGTGTACCTGGACTTGGAGATTTCGGCATTTGAGGGAGAGATTGAGGGCTTGAGGGAGAAGTTGGTGAGTGGGGAAGAATAATGAGGGGAGGTGGGCTGCAGCATGTGCGGTGGCTCTCAGAATCAGCAGCTTCTCTTGGCTCTAAATACAATACCATCAGGTGGCAGGCTCCTAGGGGACAGAAAATGTGACACTCACGTTCAATGTTCCAATTCAAGCTGGACATTGCAAATACCTCCTTTGCAAAGTACGTGCACGATATTGTATATTCAAAGTCCCTCCCTTCGGATATTTCGGGAATTCTAGAGGACTGGTTCCGTCCCCTCTCGAAATCAAATAAATGTCCAACTTTGACTTGGCACATTGGAATGAGTGACGTTTTTTCTGTCCACCGCGAGACAGGAAAAGAGACTTCTGTCATTCAAGGGCCAAGTGAATCCTCGAGTCGTGAATCACTTCCACCTTCCATCGTCTTCCTGCATTCAAATCGCGCGTCATTGTCTTCAGCTTGTCGATCTTCGCGTCGCCTACATGATTCGGACTTCATTCTTCAAGTTCGGATGCATTTCCTCCCTCATGCAAGTGGCTCCAGAAAAGGGATGTGAATCAAGATAAGAGTGGAAAGAACTTCAATATCACGTGATCATCCCCGCCAATACCCCCTATAGCTGCGGATTCAGGACATTACTTGAGGAGAAGTCATCGCTCGAGTATAAATCTTGAAGATTGAGTCATCTGGTGTGCCTGAATCAGAGCAATGAATTTTTAATTGATGAAAAAGTCTTCGCTGCCGGGACTTCAGAATCTGAAATTCAGAGTCCGTTCATGAATATTCTCGTATACTAACTAAGTCTTACGCTCTGTTTCTACTACAGGCTGTAGTGGTGGATACTAAAACTCTTGTCGCTATTGAATTCCTTGCTCTCAAAGTCGAATGCGAATTCAAACATGCTAAAGCACAACACGCAGGGTTGGAAAGAGCTGTTGCATCCGGAACCTATTTCCTCAACTGGCGTATATGTGTCGAGCAATGTTGCAGTTATCAAAAGATGAGATGCGTTTCGTGGGTAACCTTTTCGGCATCATTGCGGTTTTCTTGGTAGGGATATACTGTTGATACCGAGTTGATGACTGCGTGGTAAATCCCCCCCCCCTTTTTTTTACTAAGTAACGATGTAAAGCTAGCGTTTTTGGGAGACTCATACAAAAGAAAATTTGATGCAACGAGAAACAAGAAGATTTGGAAATAGAGTGGGAACAAGGAGATCATTTTTTCACACATTCTGCTTTTCCATATCCCATGCGTGCAACCACGCTTTGAGAATCTCCAGCTTCTGGGGTCGGACCATAGCCTGGCGTGATTCAATGCCAAATGTTACTCAACTTCCATAATGAGAGAAATTACGGATTCTTATTGCACGTTAGCATTTCGTACTGATTGGAAGGAGGAACATATCAGAACTAGTCGGACCCGTCTCCCTGTCAATGGAGCTGGAGGGTTGTCGATTAATGTAAATTACTGCATTAGGGGAAAATGCGACTTCTTGGCAATGATCTAATATTCATATTGTAACTGCAACCCTTATATAAGGCTCCAGATCAGAATGTAATGGCTGATTGGGTTGATGGTTTGGGAGGAATTTCCGCGTTAATCGATCATTTGGGCAAAGAAACTCACATGGTTTACCCCTTCTCGAGATTACCCCGGACATTAACATCTTACGGCTCATCGTGGGAGCGGAGGTCTGAGAGGATGGGCGAATGAGGTTAAAACTCTTTCCAACTTATATAAAATCACATTCGACTTCCACCACGTATAATAACAACTTCCGACCGTTTTTGTCAGTTTGGTACTTGCATGAAGCCGTAATCGTGAATAATTTTCATGTATAGTTTTGCAAATCAATCGAATTTTTGTAACAACCCGAGTCACGATAGTTATGCAAAATCCATGAATCCTCCTGCCATTTCCCATTTCCTTGCCAAACCAAATTTGCTCACCTCACTGATTTCCCCAATTCCACAGACAGATGTTGCCAACGATACCTATATCTTGGTCTTAGTTCGGGTTTGGACTTTCCAGAACGATCATCGCATAATAGCAAGTCGTCAAATTCTTATCAGAAGTCGAGAATGTCCCAGGGGAGGCCGTCCAATTCCAGTTCTTGGGACCTGAGGGGCCACTGCAAACCGTCAGCTCCTGTCTTTTTCCATATTCCGAGAAACTTACTCTGTACACCACTTAGTTTCCGTAGTATTTGCCTCAAGGATAACATTCTGCCACATCACCGAGCCGAAATCCCAAGTTCCGAGTTCCTGAAGCTCGATGGTGAGAAGTGCCTGTATCCGTCGTTAGCACATTCATGGCTTCTCAACTTGAATCAGCTGCTAGACTTACGCCTGTGTATGGTGCACCCTTTGTTTCGGCTATTCACCTGCGGTCAGTAACTTCTCTTTGAATGAGTGGAAGGAGAAACTTACTGTCGAAAGCAGGATCGAACTCGAATCCTCCACCAAACGGCTGCTGACCAGCAGCATTTCCCTGCTCACCAGGAGTAACGACCCAGTTATTGTACCACTTTCCATTTGGAATATCGAGAGTGAAAACGTTCTTGACGGTATCGCCAGGCCAGACTAAGTTTGATCAGATACATGCACTATATTATTCAGGGTCTCGATCTGGAACGTACCTCGCATTTGTTCTGTCAGGTTTGTTGCCGGGCTGTTGGTGAGACCAGATTAGTATCGAGTGATCAATCTGAAGAGGGGAGGAACGGAAAGGGCACAGAATACGCACTTGCAACAATAGAAAGGCAATAAGTACCACTCGCCCGGCCCACCACCTTGATTCGTGATCACGTTTTGGAACACAGCGTTCGACTTCGCGGGCTCCATGCCTGGCCAGAAAGCTTGGACATCATGCGTTGGAGACTGGTCTGGAGAGCCGCCAGGAAGAACTAGTGTGCTCTCGAACTGTGAGGTTGTTAGTTTGTGCTTGAATCAAGAAAACCAGGTGGAGAGGGGATACCTTGGTGATGATGGCCTGAGGGCCAGCACCAATCCAAACTCCGTAGAAAGTTAAATTTGCGATATCGCCGATGGTCGAAGAGATAAGGGAGGCAAAGGTGAGAAGGAGGATAGCAGATAAATGGGGGAGTGTCGACTTCATGGTTTGTATTGTGTTTGATGACTTGTCTTATTGCGATACTTTTCTGATGTTGGAGGGAAAGGGGGGCAGATGGGATCTTGGGGAAGAAACCACATCAATATAGACAAAAGTGCGCTCTCTGTTAATCATTGTGGCAATTGAGAAAGTTATTGAAAATTTACGTTGTTATTGTTAGAGAGGAGGGAATAATCCCATTCTACTGTTTGTCTTAGGTTCTATTCACACGTGCATCATATGACTCCTGCTGAGAAACCAAATACGGAGAGCAGCTTAACACACTACTGTATACTACATACAATCTTTACAGTGAATAGCAACGAGGTTTACTTCCATTTTATAATTCGCGTTTGTGCCCGGGATATGGCAAAGTCCCAATCGTTAGACCCGGCCCGGTGAGAATGGATACTTCGCTTAAATTTATCTCTTTGAAAAGTCTGGTTTCGTTTTTGAATTTGGGCTGTCTTCTTATTGCAGGGTACGGTATCCAAAGATAACAGATGACAAGTTTCAGCTTCGAGGAGGTGTCAACAAGCTGGTTGTGCTAATTTCTTTCCATGTTGAGAGCGCCATATGCAGAAGTCGTGGCTCAAAAGGGGATTAACCTGTAGCGTTGTAGCAAGAACAGAAGGATGGCTATTCCATAGGAATAGAAATTCAGATTCTCTTTACTCGAGGATACTGGTACTGAGTAAACATGTGTAACCACTCGCGCCCAGAAAGGGAGGGAGAATCGTGGCTTGACAGCCCTCCACCAGCCTCACCCGAACAAGGCTGCAGGATTGCCCATTAATACCATACGATAAGGGTCGAAACGGCTTTTCGACCTGTCATAGGAGTTATCACCAGCAACCAGTACGCCCTGGAAGTTAACCGGCATTTCCAGGATTCGCAGGACTGCCTACTGAACCTCACGCGCGTACCCCTATATATGGGGAAATATAAAACGAGCCCCCCACCCCCGGGTGTCGATTAGGGGTATCGATTGGGGGCCAGACTAGCCACTAACTAAAAGTAGAGGCGCTTGGATAGGAATGCCAAAAAATCTGGTTTTTACTTTGATTTAATTCAATACATGTTTTATTTTCTTTTAGTACTAATTAAGTACTATTTAAATATAATCTTTTTATAAAATTTAGATTAGTAAAAGCTCTTTAAATTAAAGAAGTTAAATTTTTTATATTTTATAACCTAAAATTAAGCTTAAGAAAGCTTAAAAGTTTAGTAAATAAGGTTCTAAAACCAGAGATAAAAGTTTTAAAAGCCTATAATTTATAAGGCCTTATAAAGCTCAAAAACTAGACCTTAATTAATTAGTATATAAACTTCCTTAAATATTATAATTTAGTATTTAATTTAGTTATCTAACTAGTATAATATAGCAAGCTATACTCTATTAAAATTACTTTATTTTAATAGTTTTAATATTTTGGTTATATAATAAAAGCTGGAGCCTTTTATATATAACTTGCGGGAGTTATATAAGAAAGCTAGCTTTTTTATAGTTCTAAATAATAATTCCTTCTTTATATTTAATTAATTAAGCTTTTATATACTATATACTATTTATATACTATATACTATTTATATTTTTAATCTTATTATTTTATTATTAAGTTATATTTTATATTCTAGTATATTTTATATAGGTTTTTATCTTATTATAATTTCTCTTTTATACTAGTATTATTTATATTTAATATCTTTAATTATTTCCGGTTATTTCTAAATTATATAATTATTATAATATATAATACTAATAGAAATTAGACTAGAATTAGCTAAATATATAAAGTTAAAATCGAGAAATAAAATCGAGATTATATATTATAACTTGAATTATATATTATAACTTGAATTATATATTATAACTTTATTTAACAAATATATAAGTTTATATATAGCCTATAATTATTTAGATTTAAAGCTTTTTCGAGATTTTTTTTCTTTCTTTAGTATTATAATTATTATAATATATAATACTAGTAGAAATTAGACTAGAACTAATTAGATATATAAGTTAAAGTTATATATTACGACTTTATTTAAAGCTAATATATAAGCTCAAATATAGCTTATAATTATTTAGATCCGAGATTTCTTTAAGATTCTTTACTTTTTTTTAGCTTTAAATTATTAAAATAAAAATAGTCTAACTATATTTTTTAAGCCCTAGATTTTATATTTATAATATAATTTAAAGCTTATTTATTTTTTAATTTTATAAAAAATTTAAAAATAATTTAATTAATAAATTTTTAATAAATATAAATATAATATATTATAGCTATTTCTATATTAGTTAACTAATATTAGAATAAAAGAAAAGTTCTAGAATAATTAGATAAGAAAGCCTTAAACTAGTTAGGTAAATAAATAAACTAGTAATTTTACTATTAAAAAAGATATAAGAAAGTAAATTCCGAAATAATTAGATAAGCCAGAAAGAGCTATAGTATAAGATATTACTAATATATTACTAGAGAGTAAACTAGAGTCTTTTATTAAATTTCCTAAAAAGTCTAAATATTTCATTAATATTTATAATAGAAAAAAGGCTCTTTTTTAAGAAATAAAGGAAAAAAAGAAACTTGCCTTTTTAAAAGCGAAAATTCAAGAGTTATTTTAGAACCCGAAAGCTTTATATAAAGAAATTATTAAACTAATTCTAAAAATATATAATATTTTTTATTTATAATAAGAATTATTATAATTAGTAAAAAGAAATCAAATAAGCCTTATAAAAGAATAAAGCTATTATTAAGAAGCTTATTATATAGCCTATGAAAATAATTAGTTCTCTTATTTTAAAAAATAAATACTTAATTAAATTTCCCGAGTTTCTTATATTTAAAAATATAATTAAGAATAATATACTTTTAATAATTAGTTAGCTTAAATTAAAAATAAGCTTTATAATAATTCTAATATTTATTAAATAAAGAATCTTAAAATTATTTATATATTTAATTATTATAGAAAATAAATTATAATAAAATAAAAACCTATATAAAGTATACTAGAATCTAAAATATAATTTAATAGTAAAATAATAAAATTAAAGAGATAAATAGTAAAGTATAAATAGTATATAATATATAAAAGCTTAATTAATTAAATATAAAAAAGAAATTATTATTTAGAACTATAGAAAAGCTAGCTTTCTTATATAATTTCTATAAGTTATATATAAAAGACTCTAGTTTTTATTATATAACTAAAATATTAAAACTATTAAAACTAAGTAATTTTAATAAAATACGGCTTACTATATTATATTATATAAATAGCTATATTTTTATATTAATTTCCTTTTATCGAAACTAGAATAATTAATATATATATATAAGATTATTAGAGAATTAAATACCTTATATTAAATAACTTTATTATATACTTTTTAATATATAGAAATACTTAATAAAGTATTTAGTTTTAATATAATAAACTTTTTAATAATAAATGTATTATATTATTTTTATTATTTATATATATATTTATAAAATTCGGAAAACGGAATATAAGTAATAGAATATAAGTAATAAGATATAGAATATAAGATATAATTATATAATCTTATATTTTATAAATAACTTGACTAGTAGCTAGTTTCTATTAAGCTTAATAGATTTAGGAATTATATATTAATATTATAATATTATAATTCTTATTTCTAAATAATAATTACTTTATTAACTTATATAAATAGTATTATATATTTCTAATAAATTAATAAAAATAATTTTTTTAATATTATTTTTTATTAAATATCTTTTAAGTAATAATATTAAATAAAATAATATATTTATTAAATATAATAATAAATATAATACTTTATTACTTTATATTAAACTAGCTAAATAAAGAAGCTGGAGTTATATATTTATAATATAAACTAAGTAAATAATACTAAATTAATTACTATTCTATAGTAATAAATAGCCCGTATATATAGCTCTAAATTCCTATACTAGCTAAACTAATTCTAGCTATATAGGATATTCTAGCTATATTGGGAATTCTAGCTAGATAGGGTATTAAGCTTAAGCCTATTAGGGGCCTCATGTGAGGCACGTAATAGCAGGGTGATGCACAAGTAGTCAAGGTAAGTAAGCTGCGGAGTGACGCTTGCAAGTGTAACTGATTCCAAGAATTGATTCCAACAAAAGACTAATCGATGCCCCTCTCCAAAGCTAGGAGCGTCTCCCTATATATTCCCTAGTGCTTAGCCAGGCATGCGAAGCCCTTTACTTAATTAGGAAATCCCATGCGATCCATACGATTCCGATCGCAAGCTGTACCCAAAATAGGAAACTAGATCCACGACATCTGACACCTGTCCATGCGCCATCACGTGTGCCCATCACACCTCAGGCCCCCTAATTTTAATACTTTACTAGTAAATTTAGTATTATATAATTATATAATAATATATATAGCTATAGTATTTAGAATACCAAGCTCCTATACTTATAAGCTTCCTTTCTTAGTTTAAAATCCTCGGAATAGAGCTATTTTACTTTACTTTCCAAGCCTAGAGACCCGGTCTCGTAATAATAAAGATTTTATATATAAAATTAAGTACTTATAAGAAATAAAAAACGAATTGTATTATTATAAAAACTATAATAAAGTAAAGATCTTTTAACTTATTATTAATTTATATTAAGATATTAAATAATTTAATGCTTTGTAGCTCATCTCGGATATCGTCTGTACTAGAGACTTCCATTTATTAGCACGTTACGGGAGCGAAGAAGCAAATAATATTGAGCGTGAAGACAGGCGGGAAGTGAAATTTCTGCGGGCGGAGGTCGAACGACTCAGAACCGAGTTAAAGGCCAAATGCGTAGAGATGCAAAGTATCAGAGACAAGGAAGACCTGGCCGATCAGGGAAAGTCAGGGGATTCAGTTACGACAAACATGGAACATAGCGCCAGGGTTCAAAAACTCGAACAGCAAATCGTGGATCTGCAGGCCGAGCTCCAGCAAAAGGAGGTTGAATCAGAGGGCTTTGAAGACACGGATTCCGTGATTGCCTCAAGAGACCTACTCAACATTGACGGGGACGTCTATGGTATATGTTTCCCGACTGTGGTCTCGATCTTGCTCTATCAAGGATCTAAGCTGCCCTCGCTGGCCGCATAAACTTGTTTCAGGCGAACGTATACCTGCTTCTTCTGCAACACAAGATCATTCCCGCGATCCAAATACCCGGCTTCCGCTGAATCGTATGTGTTTAGCAGAAAGTGCCACAAAGCCTGTCCGCGGATTCTCTCGTTATCTTCCGTGAAATACCGAAATTTGCGTGCGGTGAGAAAACCAAGCCTCAAAAGTTTGTACAGGATGAGTTTATCCTCGTCAGGCGAGACGACTATGGTTCCGCTTGTGTTGTTATTGAACCACGCATGCACATCGTTCTCAAATCGCCTCATGATGCCTGCACATTTCTCGTCTGCATTAAACTGGCCGTCTATGTCGTCAGCGTAACTTTTGCGTTTCTTGAGAGCGTGGAAACGGGATCGATGGGGTTCGGGATCGGCCTCAAAATCATCGAGCAATCCTTGCAGGCTGGTCATCCGGTTGGCAAATCGAAAGACCAGGTTTTTAGCAACGAAAGCCTCCTCTAACGTCCAGAATCTGGATTTCCAGGTTGAATACCGGATTCGATTGAGAGCTTCTTCGGAGCTGCTGACGACGTGTTGGTAAAGTGGTGGGTCTAGAACAAGAACTGAGCTTGCGCGCGAATAAATATCCCACACCAAATGCAGGGCAGTTTTTCGAATTCGAGTGTCCAGAGGGATGCAGAGGGTGTCGATCCAGAAGAAACTCCCATCAATCTCATAATTCATCTGATCAGCAAGGGATTGGATGAGGGTCAACTGACAGAATGGCAAAGAGTTTCCATCGTCATTGCCCAGGCCTGCCATCCGGACATGGCTGATTGCGATGAACGATAAGGTGCTTCCCTCAGTGAGATCGAAGAGCCTGGTTTCGAGGACTCTTGACGTTCCTGAATCCTGTCGAAATCTGAACACGGGAAACCTTTTGTTCGAAACGCAGCCTTCGACGGTGGAAGTGAGGGCCTCAATATATGCACATTTGCAGAGCTGGTGGGTGTGCCGGGGTAAAACCGGTTCTTCGTCCGTTCGGCTGCAGCCAGAACTTCCATATCCAAGATGCTCCGGATCTCCGCGCACATTTGACCGGTAGTGAAAAGTCAAGTAGTACCGGAAACACACGTCGAGAGGCAACGTCTCTATATCTTCGCGACGATACCACCCTGACAGCCCGAGAAGATGATTGACCAGTGCATGATACTTTGGTGTGGAGAGTGTTCTGGGGGGCTTCAGCTGCGTGTTTGGTGACCTCCAATCTGGAAGCTCAAATTCATCTGCAAGCGTCTGGCAGAGAATTTGAATGACCGGAATTGTTTTGCATATTGGGTGAAGATTTCGAATATCCTTTTTGTGGGCAACTGTGAAGTCAAACCACGATTTCGCTAGAATTTTCGAGATGAGGTTTGACGTCAACATGACATTAGAAGACAATCTTTGCCTGTATGAATCCATCGAAGAGGCTGCTATGACTTTCGATTTCTTAGCAGCGATCAACTCGACTAAGCTACTGGTAGAGAGACACATCTGGCCCCCTTGGAATTTTAGGAGATACTTGTAGTTCGCGAGGTGAATCCCCTCTTCCCCTCTTTTCTTGAATCCAAGAGCCTCCTGTAAAAGTCCAAACCAGAGCCTGGCCGTAAAACGGGAAGAGATCTGAGTAACAGAGCCACTGACGTGTTCACTGGAAAAGGATGTCGAGTCAGCCAAGCTTCTCGTCGGCATTTCCAGATTAATGTTAGACTTACGCTTAGACAAGAGTCAATGTCGTCCATACTCAATGACTGGAGCTGGGAGAGTCTTTATATTTTGGCTGATGTGGCTGATGAAGGTCTATTCCGCCCGGCTAAGCCTAAAGGGAACTAGTACTATTTACAAGGGTTCGATTCCTCCGGTTCCGCCATGGTCTCGTGACAGCCCCTACCTTCACTTTATATTAGAAAAGTAGGTTGGGCGGAAAGGTTGGTAGGATTATAGTCTGTCAGAGAGTCCCTATATACATATAGATGCCTAAGGCCATTACGATGTTAGCGTATACCTCAGCCATGACACTCAGGCCAGAATCCAAGAGAAGTCTAGCGCATCAGGATAAATGTACTTCCGCTCCGAGAACATGCCACGTTCATCTTAGGCTGTCCATCGCGCCACTGCTCTGCGGTTATTTTGTATGCGTTTTTCTGGCATATTTAAATTTTATCTTAAACACCATCGATATTAGACATTATTGTGACGGCGCTGGCTGGGGCCAAAGGGGGGTGGCTGTCACATGACTAGTTTCACCTAGCTAGCCGGCGTTTCAGTGATTTTAGCTAGTACTTCCCTCCCTTTATCCCCTCCTTCTTCCCCCTCTCTCTCCTTCTTCTCTTTAGCTTAGTATTTTCAATAACCGAAGTCCCGCGCCAAAACACGTCCCGCACCAAAACACGCGTGTAATAAAAATATTTTAATTTATTAAAACACAACTACCTTATATAAAAGTCTAATTTTATATATATAAGATCCCCTTAGTATATAAACCTTACTTTTAATAATATATAGTAAAAATACTTAATATTTATTAGTATAATAAACCTTTAATAATTATATTAAATTCTATAAAATTTTAATATAAGTTTTATATTATATATTATTATAAGTTAAAACTATTATAAAATTACTACCTTATTATAATAGTTTCGGGAAATATATTAATATTTTATATAATTTTATCTTTTAAAGTATAATTATAAGTTAAAGATTAAATATTTAAATATTCTTAACTCTTACTTTCAACTTTAAATAAAGAATACTTACTTTATATAATAATCTAAATTTTTATATATAAGATCTCTTTTATATATTAGACTTACTTTTAATAATATTTAATAAGAATACTTATTATTTTATAATATAATAAGCTTTTAATAATTCTCTTAAAACTATATAAATATTAATATAACTTTTATATTATATAATATTATAAGATAAAAAAATTATAAAACAACTCTAATACTATTATAATTTAAAGAATATATATTAATAGTTTATATAATTTTAACTTTCAAAAGAAAATTATAATTTAAAGATTTAAATTTTTTAAATTTTTTAAATTTTTAAACTTTAACTTAAAATTAAAAAGTATTTATAATATATAAAAATTATATATTACTTTAAATATATTATATTATATATATATTTATATTTAAAATATAAAAATACTTAATTTAAGAGCTTTATATTAATAAATATATATTATTTAAATATTAATAACTTTATATATTAAATTTATAAATTATATATTAATAAATATATTAATAAATATATAAAGTTATTAGTTTTTTCTAACTTAGCTATATAATATAATCTTATTTATATTAAAATATTAATATTAATCTTATAAATCCTTTTAATAATTAATAATAATTAAAAGAATTTATATATTAAAAAATGTAATTATTAAATAAAACTATAATATAAGTATTATTTAAAAAATAGTTAATAATAGGAGTTTATATATAATATGAGCCTAAAATAGTATAATTATTATATATAATTATAAATAACTTAAACTTTTATTAAATTCTATATTAGGGTAAATAATATAAATTTTAAAAAATTAAAAAATTATATATAAAGGCTTTTATAATAAGAATATAGTTATAAGTTACTTTTATATATATAATATCTATAAAATAACTAATAAGTTTATTTATAAATAATAAAAAGTTAATTAATTTTTAAAAAATATTTAATTTAAACTTAAATTTTAATAACAAATAATACTTTTTATTAAAAACTCTTTATATATTATAACTAATATTATTAAATAAAGTATAATTTCTAATCTTTATACTAATCTATTTAATTTAAACTTAAATTTTAATAACAAATAATACTTTTTATTAAAAACTCTTTATATATTATAACTAATATTATTAAATAAAGTATAATTTATATAATTATATAATATTTTATATATTTATTATAAAACTATATTAAAAATTTGTAATTTCATAAAAAATTAATATAATAATAATAACCTTTTAATTATAAGAAGATTATTGTTATAATTTTAGTAACTTACTCGATTATATCTATAGTCTCTATATTCCAAAAATGAAGTTAAAAGGATTTGTGGTTATTTAATTATTAAGATTTTGAAATATCGCTAGAGCGTGTTTTGGTGCGGGACGTGTTTTGGTGCGGGGAATCGGTTACATGAGATTCTTGGATCTTTGAGCCCTGGCCATTGCCTCGATCCCGCCGTCACAATTATCATCTGCAAATCTAATCAATTATGCATCAGAGCATGCTCCATCAAATAACGCAGTTTATCTTATTATCCTATGTGGACATCGTAAGAAAATTGCTGATAAGTAGACTCCTTGTCCCGGTCAAAACCAGCCAATCGACCTCAACTGACGTGTATGACAGCAGAGAAATCAGGAACAACATTTATCACGAGAGCTCCTATATTAGTAATTACCATAGAAGTCTTTTCAATGTCGAAAGTAACATATTTAACGCGTTGTTGGGCATTGGACGCGCTTGGCTTGTCGATGCCGACCAAATCCTCTGGAAAACATCGACTTGGGGCCACAACGCCATGGGCTTTGGCGGGGCTCAAGAGGTAGAGTGATTTAACTGCGCAGCATGGCGACGATGGTTTTGGGCCGACATGGTCCAAAATTCAATCAGCTATAGAACAGTAGTAAAGGAATTGAACGATTCTATCCAATTAAAAGTACGGTGTGTGGTGTGGAGGAAAATGGGTTTAGGATGATCTTCTATTTCGTCAAAATATTCCCGCACAGGCCAGTGGGCCTCGGGCCATGGGGTCGAGGTCCACATGTGACTCGCTTAGTTCCACTGGCAGTAACCGTATTAGGAATAGTCCTCGACTTGTGGCCTGAGTGCCTGAGGTAAGAGGGAATAGGCATTTTTGAAGCAGAAAACCTTACGCTTTTCTAATGTAAAAGCCACGCTTTAATCATCATCACGCCGTCTGAAACCTCGAATCAACCTCACAACAGTCGTTGCATGCCCTTGTAGGTACGGATACCTATCGTTAAGGCGTTCTTGCCTGTAGTGTAATGATAAGCATCTTACTTTGGTCTTTGAATCACAGCATCCCTGTCGGTCTGCCAGAAGACTCCGTAAAGCGACTATACAATTGAATCCATACAAATTCTCAGCCTTGACCCAAGCTTATACCCCCCTGGTCATGCCGTACAGCAGGTTCGCCATATTCTCGAGCCTCGTGCTCTTCATAATCTGCGTGTGCACTCCTGCAGCCTGGCCTTTAATCGACCAAATGCCTCTTGGCGGCTCTGAATTAGAGCAGTGGATCCCTGCATTTGACAATCCGACATTCTTAGCCAGAAATAGCACAGACAATGACTTCGTCAAACAGTTCCGCAACCCAAAGGGGATTGTGGCTGTGCTGCTCTTGGTGGGTGCAGATGTGGTGCAGAGAGCAATTGCACAGTCTGCTTCCCGGTCAGAAGCGCACGATGTATGGTCACTGTCCTGGCTCACTCCTGCAGTATTCAGCTTCGGATGGGTGTCTTATGCCGTGAACTCAGTTGCCACCGCCTTAGGTGACGGGGTGTTCATGCCTCCTCCTGACTGACCTGGTTTTGTAGTTACAACAAACTCGGGCGATGTACGGCAGAATCAATCATGGGTGATCGGCCGACTAATACGGGATCTGGAATTGCAAGTTGAGCGTGAGGTAAGCGAAACAAAGTTGGAATCAGGACTCATCGCCACAGTCTACAAGGCCTTGCCCAATGTCCAACATGCAAGATACGGCATGATGAAGCCGGATAGGACCACTGTGTGGATAGCATTCTGGGTAACAGTCGCTTTGCAGGTCGTTGTGGCTGCTGCTCCTTACTATTATGAGAAGGGGACAAAGAGTTGGGCTGTCCTAGCTGTGACGGGGGCCGGTAATATTTTGGCAGTTCTTACAGCCTCCGTTCCTAGGAACAAGTATCCAGCGCGAAGCAACTCCAAATCAATCTACGCGATCACGCGAGGAAATGGATACAGACATGTCTTCATTATCTTGCCTGATACGCTGAGAAAGGTGGATGGAGTTCCTGAATCCTCCCTGCCACACTTGCAAGATATGGCGAGTGCAATTGACCGTGCAAACCTTCCAACTCGAGGCCTCATCTGTCTTTTAGCGCTAGCCTGGGCGGTTCTTCTACTGGCCGTTGCGGGCTTAACAGACGATACGTGGTTTCTTTTACTGGTTGGACTTATGGGGATGGGAAACAACATTTACATATCCAGTCGAGACTGCACCCCCATAGAGCATGGGATCCCCATCGAGAAATTCCAGCTGGACGGCGAACCCAATCCTATAGGACTGCGCCGTCCCGAAGATGCAAGACCTGGAGTCATGGAGAATCTGTTCAAAATAGAGAAGAAATACCCGGGCGCGGGCCAGTCTTTGCTCAAGCTATTCTTCCCTGACCGCCTTACCGACGCGGAGAAGGACAAGTGGGCTGGGGGTGAATACAGCCTGGTCTCCATGGACAGCCGGCTCAAAGACTGATACAAAGAGTGGTATCCATAGCAACGTCAGCAAGACCTAGAAGTGCCGGCGGGTGGGCAACGGGGAGAGGGAGGAGAGGGAGGAGAGGGAGAAGGAGAGGGAGAAGTTTATTTTTATATTTCTGAGTTCGTTAGTGTTTTGTGCTGGCGCTATAGGAGGGTTTGTAATCGTCGGACAGATGTTAAAGGATTATGGCTCTTGTATATCATTTTCTAATATTATAAATCCGAAGCTTAAATCGCAATTATTGTACTGCGTAGGTGAAACTTGCAGCACGAAGCTCATTATGACTACGGGGTACATCAGTCAGGAATGCAAGCTCTGCAAGCAAATTGTGGCGAAAAAGCGCCGCATCCGCAACTTGGGTGGTAATGTCAGGTGCTGGTGTGTCGAACTACTATCCCCCTAGAATAATTACAAGTGGGCCTTGGATATTTTGCTATATTTACTAAGCTTATATTATTATATAGCAATAATATTTTACCTTATATATAATAAAAGTAATAGAGAATAAACTGGATCTTATTTTTAATATAATTACCGGTAGTGGGCCCAAATAGGGGATTGTTTCTTGGTATGAGCTAAATTAGATATAATTGACTTTATTATAAGAGATAATGCAAGGGACTTGTCTTGCTTAAGTAAGGAAGACATTTTAAGGATATACTCTAAAGAAAATCGATATATAAGAAGGGAAAAGGTAAGGAAGAAGGGGGGTGAGGGATGGCGGGGTAGAAAGGCGGTGAGAGCTTGCTTAGTATTAATACTAATCGATCCAGTATTAATCCCTGTAATACTGACTAATACTAGGTGGTATCAATACCGGTATTAATACCTCAGGTATTGTTGCCGAGCCTGGCGCAAACTCCATCCAGATTTAACGTGCCATTCTAGCAACGTCTAATAATGAATAGAGAGCCTTCGTTATGCGAGATATGTTCTCAGATTACTCTCAGACTCCCCGCAAATAAAGCGCTTCTGAGGGATTACCCCGATATTAGCTCTCTCGACGACACGGCCGACAGAGGATGTGCTCTCTGCATTTCAATCCGAGCCTCACACCAGAAGCGCCACGTCATCTCAGCAAGGCATCAGACATTGCCATGGATAGAAGACCAGGTCCAACACTCAAATATCAGTGTATTTCACCGGATCGATCAACCCATCGACCTCGAGAGTAACATTTGGTGGGAATGTTCACAATGGGATTCAAGGCAGAGGTCAATGAATGCATGGCATCTTGGTGGCTTCTTCGCAGATCCTGGTATGACGATTCCTGTAATCCATTCAAAGTAAAGTCCTTTAACGTGATTATAGTTGATTTGGCGGCAAGATATTTTCCAGGCCGGGATGTAGGTCTGGATCCGGCGTCCGATGCCAACTTCGAGCTTGCTAGCCGTTGGCTAAGGGGATGTCTCTCATCCCATCCATTGTGTGGAACAATAAGCGCATCGCCTCTTCCGACTCGATTAATTGATATTGGGAATGGCATCTCGCCTCAAACCCTGCGCCTTTGCATACCTGCTGCTGGTGCTACTGGTAGATACGCGGCTTTGAGTTATTGTTGGGGTACCGCACAGAATAACATTCTAACCAAGGCAAATTTAAAAGACAAAACAGAGAAAATACCCGCGTCTGATTTACCAAAGACAATCCAAGATGCCGTTGAGATAACTCAAAAACTCGGACTACAGTATCTCTGGGTTGATGCTCTCTGTATCATCCAGGATTCCGTTCAAGACTGGCAGACAGAATCTGCAAATATGGGCAGCATTTATAAGAATGCTTTCTTCACTATTCAAGCTTCAGGAGCGAAAGATACACAAGGTGGTTGCTTCATACCACGTGCCCAACAAGAACCACCTCCTGCGAAACTTAGGTTTGAGTTAGCAGAAGACGGGTCTCTTGGATCAGTATTCGTTCGCTCTCATCCATTGGTGGATACCAAGATGGAACCACTACATCAGCGTGGTTGGACACTACAAGAGAGCTTACTATCACCTCGGATATTATCGTACGGAGCAAATGAAATGCAGTGGGAATGCAAAACCACGAACTATAGCGAAGCTGGTAGTCTCCTCCAAGTCCAAGGTTCCTTCCCCGGCTTACCCAAGCCCATTCGGACCAAAACGAAAAACCATCTACTGTCCGTCAATATTGATACCATTGACCCCGCAATGGAGAAGAAACTTGCCTGGTCGTATATCGTTAGGGATTATGCGTCACGCCAGTTGACATTTGCGCAAGACAAGTTGCCAGCACTCTCTGGCCTCGCAAGATATATCTCTCACACACGGCCCGGTGACACGTATCTTGCGGGGCTGTGGAAGTCTGAGCTGGCCGGCAATCTTCTTTGGGGCGTCCTCAAAGGGGTTCGACCTTCTATATATCGCGCTCCATCATGGTCTTGGGCAGCCTTAGACGGCGAGATTACCGTTTTCAACAACGCGTATACTTCCGCCGGTGAATATTGCGAGGCTCTCAACGCATCAACTATCCCTTCAGGTGCCGATTTATTTGGACAAGTCTCGGCGGGTATAATCACGTTGCGTGGACAGTTAAAAGAGGGATGGCGGATACTCGATGAGCAAAGTCTTAATGGTGACCCGAACGTGCAGTATCTGTACAAGGATAACAGACACTTAGAGCGTTCGGATAACACCTTTCGCCTCAAGCTTGGCCTTTGTGAGGTCGATATTTTTGACTCTACTCAGAAACTCGGGGAGCCAGTGTTAACATGGTGTCTTCGAATCACAAATTTGGAAGGCCTCGCTTTGCAACAGGCGTCAAGTGGAATTTTTCATCGTATTGGGGTATTTGGCTTGGATGACGAGAAATCTGGTTGGTTTGGGGAATCTGATGTACGGATATTGGATATTGTTTAAAAGTTGGAGCGGTTGAATGTTAGGTATTTAGCAAGGGTGAAGTTTTGAATGGCGCTGAGATTTGAAGACTTAGCTATGAACTGGTATGGAAATGGACTGTTATTATGAAGGGGTGGAGTGAACAGGGTGGAGGATAACGCTGTCCGCAGTATAGCCAAAAATAAACCAAAATGAGCAAAGAGTATACCCGAACTGGGTGCATATTAGTGGTAAAGATATATCAAATTTCTTTCATATCTAAGAGGGAGGTCTTGTGCAATGCACATCAACCTTGGCGGATGGACGTTCTTTACCCTCGATGCGTCTGGTGAATCTGTGGCTCGCTGGTTCGACTACAGAGGTAAAAAGGAGTAGGAAACGTGACAGAACATCTTGAGCAGAAGGTGAGGCGAGGGTGATTAGTACGTGAGCAATGCGGCGATGCTAACTAGCCGCGTTAGAAGAGACGCAGGTTGAGATTACTCCACGGTGCAGTCTTGCAAGCTAACGTACTCGCAGCGTTAGTACTACAGATACGCTTTACCTCAGGCTCTAATCCGAAAGTAGTACTTCCGAACCGAAAGATCACGTTAAGGGTTTCGATCACGTGGAAACCGAGAGCCCAAATCGGATGCCAGTCCAGAAGCCGAAGTGGGCTGCCCAAAAAGACGAAGGGGGGTGGGGAGCCGAAACTAGCCTCCAGATGCTTCCGAGTATAGGTATCCCATTTTGGTGCTTGTTTGTATTCTTGATTCTGAATGAAAAAAGGTAAACGTTAGGGAACCTAGTCACGTACTGCTACAAAAAAATACATCCAAACCGGCTCCGGCAGATAGGTAATCTATCTTAGCATCTGAATACACCAGCAACTTTTCCCTTTCCCGGCGCGCCACGTGGCGATCTCTCTATAGCGAAATTTCCACAATGGGGCCCGTGTAGACGTGGCGGGCACGGAAGATGTAGTACAAGATAGCGAAGAAGATGGCGCCGCCGATGGCGAGGATGCTCCAGTTCATTTCCGCAATAGACGGATCCATCGAGGACGGCCAGAAGCTGAAGAAGACGATGATGGCGATGTAAATGATCGCGTAGCCGTTGATGATGGTGCCCAGGATGCCGGGGCATCGGAATGGACCCCAGACGAGTTTCGCGCCGGGCACGTTGATAATTTCGTCGTCGCTGTCGTTATACAGGGAGATGTCGCCGCGGACCCGGCGGATGAAGAGCAGGACTGAGACCACGAGGTAGGATAGGTAGATGCCTGATATGGCCATAGATACGATGTCCATCATGGCGATGTTGGAGCCGATCCTGATTATGGCCAGCAGCCAAGAGATAGTCACAGAGACCAGGATGGCGGGGACCGGCAACTGCCTAGAGGTGGATACCTATTTGCGGGGAGCGTTAGTTATATCCTGAATAAATGAAGACTCCTAGGTGGGTCGAGTGGTTCCTTACCCGACTCCACAATCGCCACCCTGGAACTCCTCTATCTCGGGAGAAGGACCAGAGCTGGCGAGAGGCGGCGGCCAGCAGGCCCATGAGCGCGCAGACGTAGATGACGATGACAATGGCAGACATGGCCAGCGAGCCCGACACCGAGTTGGTCGCTTCCAAGAAGATGCCCATGAAGGGATAGCCAGTGATCTGGCCCAACGTGCCGCCAAGATCCGGGCCGGCGCAGAACATCATGGCGATCAAGATGCCAAATCCGAGGCAGCCATTTATCCCGAGGCTGAGCATGAGGGCTTGCGGGATGACCATGGACGCATTCGCGACCTCTTCCGCCATCTATTCGGAGGTTTTGTTAGGGAGGGGCGTCTTGAGGCGGCCGGGAGAGGGCTCTGATGGCAACAACTTACATGCACGGAGGCATCAGCTCCGCCGAAGGCAAACGCACAGGTGGTCATACCGACGAACCAGGACAGCCCCTTCGTCTTGAAGCCTCCTCCGTTCTGGAAAGACAGGAAGACCTGCTCCTTTGTGTTGTGCTCGGCCATGTAGACGAGCGGGATGAGGATGCCGAAGAAGCCAACGATATGCACCACCAAGAGGACCGTCTCGGCGCGAGGCAGGAGCTTGCCGCCGACCAGGTTGATGACCAGTGCCAGACTCAGTGCACACCAAGTAATCAGCGTCGCCTGCCAGGGCAAGGCATTATACGCTTCGTTCCCTAGGATCGCGGCGCCCTGGATCATACTTCCTGCCAAGAAGGCGCTCGCGGCGAACGCCGTCTGCCAGCCGAGGACGGCAAACCAGCCTATGGACCCCCAAACGTCAGCGATCTCGAGCCATCATCGTCTCCTGCGCGCGGAGACTGACCTGTGATGAAACTAACGAACTTCATATGTTTGGATGGGGCAAGCATGGCTGCCCAGTGGTACTGGCCGCCAGCGGTAGGGGCCCTATTCTTGTCGTCAGCCGCTGCTCTGGCACGGGCTCCACCAAGGGTCAAGCCGCATACATCGAGGCCAATTCGGCCAGAACCATGAAATTGGCGAAGGTGCCTATCCAGCCGAAGATGTAGGCGTAGATGGCACCGCCGGAGCCGCCACTGGGAATACCTGTCAGCGGGTGCAGTGGTCATAACGGGACGGCGAAGCGCCTGAGGGGGGTCCAAACTTTGTAAGAGGGCCGGTGAAGGTACTGAGGAGGGAGGGAAGGGTTAGCTATGTGAATCTCTCGACACTCGAGCCCGGGGATCGTGCGAACTCACCCAAGCAAACCTTCCCAAGTACCCAGAATGGTGCAGCTAAAGCCGAGGATGGAGAGGATGCCGAAGTTTCGCTGAGATGGAGGGGCACTGATCAGCAAATCTGGTCTGACGATTCTTCTTCCCCATTTGTTTTCCTCTCGTCTTCTTGAGGTGGTGGTGGTCTGGGCTGTACCTTCAAGACGGGCTTCTTCCCCATCCGCTGGAGGTTCGCATCGTCACGCTCGCGCACGGAAGAGGCAAGCCGGGTCGCTCCCGGCGCTGGCCTTGTGATACTTGAGGCTTGGCTCTTCAATTCATAGGACTCCATGACTCTGCTTTTCTCTTGATCGACGGGTGGGACGGAGACAGGTGGGAGGTTCACATCAACAGGAAGAGAAGAGAAGAGAAGAGGAGTAGAAGAGCAGAAAGAGGGAGTCACCTCTAATCAGCGAGCAGACCCACCCCCCACACACTTGAATTGCTCACTTCTTGACGGAGACGCTAGGAGTAATGTGTGACATTCGGTCGTTTTCATCATACCCAAATCGGGAAGGGATCGACCCAAATTAGGTTCGGAGTACAGCCTGTTTGGATATGAGTGGAGTTAACGCCGACTTTGTTCTAAGAAATCCCGCCCGCAGTATTTAAACGGCTTTTTACTAAATTACTCCTCAAAAAATCATAATTACTTAATTACCCCATTTCTAATAGACCTTACTACATCCCTCAAATCAAAACTTTACTAAATTGCCTTCTTTTATTAAAACCATATTAAATTACCCTTTTTTTTAATTAACTTCTTTTCTTTAAAATAAATAGTTAATAAAATAATATAATTCAATATAATTTAAACCCTTAAAATAACCATTTTTAAACGTTTATATTATATATTAAGCTTATAATCAATTATTAAAGTAAATTGAATCTTATCTAATTTCTTACTTTTTTTTGGCTTATTAGTAATTATTAGAATTAATAGTATATAAGTTAGAAAACTGTAAAATTATATTAAAAATCACTCTCTTTATAAAAGGAAGAAAAGAGAAGTATAGATCGAGTAATTAAGGCTTTTAAGTGCTACGAGAATACGTTTATAAATACAACTTGACTAATTTGAAGCTCATTTAATTACTACCCCTTCGTCTGCTGAGACATGTCCAGCGCTAGCAAGGGGGCCACACTCAGGGCGAAAAGGTAAAAGATGACTAACAAATTTCAACCAAAAGTACGCTAGTTCACTCTGAGCAAGGTCTCCTTGCTAGCGCTAGACATGTCTCAGCGGACGAAAGGGATACATGCTATTGTAGTAGGGATTATTAGGCTGGGAGCAATATATATGGGCTTCCATAGTATGGGATTACAGCATACGAGTGAGACGTGATACCCGCTCGTACCCTCCACTAGTTTCCACTGGTGGTTGGTGAAAGCGACCTGGCCAAGTATTTCATATAGTAATTTGTGTAAGAGGGACTTCTAGCTAGCTAGCTGGTCTGCGTTGGTTTGCGCTACAAATTTAGCGAGGAACACCAATTTGGGGGGTTGACCAGGTAGCTTTCACGAACCACCAGTGGTAACTTGTGGAAGGTACGAACGAGTAAGTCCTGCATAATAATTAAATATAAACCTAATATATAATATAAATATCCTAAATTAATTATTTTTGTAGCGAACTCAATTTGCTAGTCCTCTAGTAATTATTCTTACTTATAGTATATATAGGTATAACAAATAATTAAGAGGGTAAGAGGCAGTTTTATTAAAGATCCGAAGTTGAAAAGGAAAGAAGAAGGAGGAATAAGGTTATGGGCTTTCTTCGCGTCGTGTTTCAAGCTATACCCGTTTATGAGTAGTCTCTCGTAGACCGCGAGGTTCGTTCCGAGCCGTAACACGTGACTCTAGAAGCATGCCCATACCGATTTTAAAGTTTTAAATTATATTGAATCGTTCTACCGATTGAGTTTCATCTATTTTCATAAAGAAAGAAAAAATTAATTAAAAAAATTTCGGGGGCAGTGGGGGGTTTTTAGAAAGTTTTTTAAACGGAGTGATTAATAAGATTTTGATTTTAGGGGGTAATTTTCCATAGTCGTACCCTGTAGTGGTTCCACTATCACCACAGGGACAGCTGTCGCTGTCGAGGCGTGGAAGTGGAAGTTGGGCATGGAACGCTGCTACAAAGCCAGCCCCTAGCAGAACCTGTCTCAAAAAGGCAGGGTCCTGAGACTCTCCTTCAACAGCGCTCTGCATTCTCGTTATGTGCCTGTATCAGGCCTTGCGAGGCCTTGTGCGAGGGCTCTTCGGGATTGCCCTGTCCACAAGGCCTGCCACAGTGAGGGTGGGAAATAGTAAACGGCCTCGACATATGCCGTGCTCGAGGTGATACGAGTAGGCCTAATATCATCAAAGGAGGAGCGTAACCACCGCCCTTCTTAATAACGCATGCTCTCGATAGCTCCATGCTCGTAGCTTGCCTTTTGCTTCACCCTCTCCTCACTGAAGTGAAAAGGCAAGAAGAATCCACACCCAACTCCTCCACATATCTACCGCAATGGGGTCGCGATTCACGGGCGACTCCCAGGACCCCGCGGTCAACGTGACCACATGGCTTCTCATGGTCATCATGGTCTTCAGCGTCGCGACCAGAGTTTTTTCAAAGCTCCACCTTTTCAGGAGACTCATGGCCGATGACCTCCTGATATTTGCCTCGCTGGTGTTTGGCATCGCCCAAGGCATCACCATCTCGCTGGCCGTCGCCGCCGGCTATGGCGACCACTACACGACCGTCTCCAGCGTAGGCTTGGATCGGGTGATGAAGGTGCGCGTCTCCCAACTCTCCCTCCCTCTTTTTCACGCTTGAGGCAGAGAGGCTGACTCTCTCATCGACAGAGCCTCTACGCGGCGTCTCTTCTCTACATCCTGAGCCTGGCGTGCTCCAAACTATCCCTGGCCGTGTTCATCCGCAGCCTCACCCCGACCGCGAAGGATAGGCGACTGGCCGTCGTCGTCGAGGCCATTATTGGGGTCTGGGCCACTATTATAATTTTCGGGACCGCGTTCCAATGCTCAGTGCCCCGGACCTGGGACATATGGAACGGCAAGTGCTTCAGCGTGGTAAGTAGTACCTACCTACCTCCTCTAATCCCCATCGCTTTCTCCTCCTGCGCCGCGAACACAGACCATACTAATTGTGATTCGCCGGGCTTCTACAGTTGGCATGGCGCTACTTCGTCGCCGGCTCGAACATCCTGACCGATCTCTTGCTTATGGTTCAGGCGATCGTTCTGGTTTCCAGCATCCAAACGACGGCGAGGCGTCGCATGATGTTTGCCGCTATCTTCCTACCCCGGCTTTTGTTAGTGTCCCAGTCCCAGTCCTGCACTATCTACCCCCAGACTTCCCCTAAAGAGAGAAAAAAAGAACTCGAAACTCATTTGCCTCGAACTCCATAGTGTTCCAATCGCCGCGATAGTCCAGCTTACCGCCATCAAGAAAGGCACGCAGACCGATGACCCGACGGTCCAGCTGTGCGAGAACACTATCATCGAGGGGGTCATCCAGTGCCTCAGTATCGTGACGGCCTGCTGGGGTCAGCTCAAGCCCTTCACCTCCTGGATGCGCTCGAACGGGCTCAAGCTCAACGACGTCGACAACACGTCCGCCTGGTCCTACAAGATGAGCGACCGCAAGACCAGGACCGGCAAGTCCGACGGCGCCGTCGACTCCGACTTCTCCCTCCCTCCGCGCCGCGACCGGATCCTCATCACGCACGATTGGGACGTCAATAGCCAGTCGAGCCAGGCGAACATCATCATCGAGGCGGAGGACGGGGGGAACAACCACCACGACGACGCCCAGACCAGCGACGGCACCCACCAGGTGCGGTCGCCCGCTAGTTAATCCAACCCAACTTAACAGTTAATAATTGTATATATATGTACTATACCTAGATACCACTACTAGATAAGAATTAGAATCCTTCCGGATAGTGATTTTCTCCTTCTATCCGTCTATCCGTCTACAAACAAAACATGGCAATGGGAATCCTGATTACCACTACCCTGCTTTCAGTCCTTGACCTCCTCAGCATAACCAAGCCAGCTTCACCTACGGAGGCCGTCTAGTGTATGAGACATACATACGGCGTAGGTGACAGCTAGCTGCCAGGTCAGGAGTAGCGATTTGGCGCGTTTCTTGCAGTTTTTTAACCTTTGCTTCTACGGGCCGTAATACATATAGAAATACATTAATGTCTCGGATTTTGGGATTTGGCTCGCTGGCTATTTGGAACACCCTGCCCGGAGGCGGCCATAGGACCTCGCGACCCAGCACCTCGATATCCCTTCAAAGTCAATAACCTATCCTTCTAGCGACTCAGTCAGAGACGGATATTTTACAGGAAGAGCACGAGCGGTAAAGGCTGTTTGGGGGCAAAGGGGTGGCGACGGGAGTCTCTGTATAGCAATGTTGGATGCTATGATGCATCTCTTCGGCGATGTTGATTACACAGATCCGTGAATGGATCTGACCTATGATAGTTTCCAGCCATGGGCGCCTACTGATATTGGGTATGCAGAATGGGTGGCTATATATCAAGACATAAAGAAAAGCAGATGGAAATTGGCCAAAGAATATTAGATCATGAGGGGGAATGAATTCCATGGATAAATCATTAGGTAGCCATATCGTGATAATAGTAGGAAGGTGATATCGTGGTTAGTTTTGTAAAATTTTGGCTTTCGTAGCCATATCCAGTAATTAATGCAGGTAATAGTATATACCGAAGTTACTTCCATTCTTGTCTTACAGAGTTTGGTTCATCTAAAAGCTGCAAAATATTGGCAGTGATGTGTCGTTATAAACAAGAAAAGGGGTTCTCGCTTAAAACGATCCCAGCTTCTTTTTCAGTGACCATGACTGATTTGCCTCTGATTGGATCCTGTTCTGCGAAGCTAAGATCTGCAATCATGTAGAAGCAATGAATTGGAACCACGGAACTTACTCAAAGATGCAATTGCGAATGCTGGCTACTTTGACAATACTTGCGATCTGGCCCTTTCATCAAACATTTGTCCATTTCCCTTCCTTGTCAGATTCCCAAGAACTGTAAACGCTCCGCAACCCAAAACAAGTCTATATCCTCGCTCCCAAATACCTTCCGGTCTGCCAAGCAACCCTCTCGTCCGTCAAGTTTCTCTTCACAAATCGCACAGTCCAAAGCCCGAACAACGTAGACCAGAGATACGGTACTCCCCACCCCACCCCAAAAGCAATCCTCTCTTCCAACGCCACGATCAAAATAGTTGTTACAATCGCTATAATCACGAGGTTAATGCCCCAGAACCACGTAAGCCGCAACAACATGCGTCTGAAAGGTGGACTGGCTTCGTATCTCTTCATCACGGCCTCTCGATGTGCAAGTTCTCCCCGTGCTTCGATCGCCCCCGTATCCTCAAGTATAGCTAGTAATACCGGTCTCCATATCGCTCCCTTTGGTGTGGAGGACATGTCGAAGGGCAAGCGGTAGCCTCTTTGTGTGAGAAAGGCGCTGATGAGGAAGATTATTCCCAGGTAATAGCAGATAGTGGCGCTCGGCATCGCACAGAGCCGAACGATTGGAAGTTCTGGGATAGTGCCAATCAAGAGTAGAGTCTCGAAGATAGAAGCGCAAATGGCAAAATGGACGTTAGTGAACTCCAGCTGCGAGTTGTTAGGTGGTTGAAATGAGGCTTAATTTAGTAGTTACACTCACCAGACGCCATTTTCTCTGCCAGCCAATTGGCCCGTACCGAATGGAACATTTGAGCATCAATCTTAGACATCGATGCGTATAATGAGCGAATGTCATCATGCAAAAGAGGCACGTTATGACGATAAAGACTGCGCGAAGAGAGAAATCAGCCACTATATCAGGGGTTTCTGACAAATTCCCAGAAGCGTCGCCTACCGTATCTCGGTGTCAAGCTCGACGCATACGTCAGGGAATAGAAGAACACAATTGGTAAAATGAACACATCAAACACTGCTAACACAAGACCAATAACCAAAAGTATCTTCCTGTTCTTAGTGGGATTCGGCAAAGCTGGCGGTAACAGGTCAATGATCGCCGTCTTCCCGTTAGGTAGCGCTGCAAATTCAACTGTATTTCGAAGTTCGAAGTCGCCGTGAAATTCCACCCACGACGGGCGGTCTACATTGCTTGCTTGCGGCATCTTTGGTTTATGAGAACTTCGCCATGAACACTACATTTATTTTAAAAGGCAGGATTGTAGCTGTTCTGGTGAAGGTGTTCTTGAAAGAAAGGCAGTGCTAAAACGAAGGTGTGACGCGTGTCCTGAGCGAACACGGGGTGATGGATTCGGAGCAAGCTCGTGCTCGATTGATTCGCTCCTGTTGGCTGGATGCTCAACCTCGCGATCAGTGCCCACCGTAAACACTTTAAAGTTCAATCGTACTTCTTATTTTGCAAGGATTGCCTTTAGAGCAGTGAGCTTACTGGGGAAATTGATGAGCCAAGCGACATTTCGAGGCCAAAATGCGATGGAATCTGGCACATGAAATCCTTACTGACACACCTGAAAGAGAGACATGAATACAGAGTCATTTTATATAGGGGTGAGGCGTACAGTGCAACCTAGCATGGGGGGAATATGGTACTCGATGAATCTGGAGGGCGTTCGGGCTTTTCGGGGGTCATGAGGCACTAGAAGGTTTCACTGGCCAACCGCCCAGACCACCCAACCGCCCAAAATCGCTGTTTCCCAAAAAATCATAATTCAACACCCACATAATATTTTACTATCAAATCAACTGTTTTCTAAAGCCTTTTTGGCCCCTCAGCATGTCTATAAAGAAAAATCACCATACCGAATTCGCGGACCATCCCAACGAGCTCTCAGGGAGCGTGCGATTATAGACGGCTCATAACGATATCTCGATTACAAGAAGACTAAATCCATTGGGAAATACGCGAGAGAGCATGGAATTGCATACGAAACCCTTAGGGATCAAATTAATGGAGCAAAACCAAAGGTATAAGATGCAAAGGCAAGATAGCGTTTATTAGTGAGACAAGAAGTAGCTAGCTAATTAAAAAGAGGCATAAGGTTCACTATATAATAGCGAATTCGATTAATATACGAGCTTTTATAATTGAAAAATCGAGTATTATTTAAATTATAATTGAATATTTATATAATATAAGCGATTCTTTGCCCCAAGAATTAGGTACCTAAATTCAGGCTTATTACCCCACTAAATGCAAGTCACTAATTCTTATTCCAAAGAAAATTTAATAAGAAATATTATTATAATAATGCAAAAAACCTTCTAATATACTCTCTTATATTAAGCCATATATTGCTAAAGAATTTAGGACTGTAACGGCGGGATTAATGCAATAGTCGAAGGCTCAAAGTTCAAAGAATCTCATATTATTGGAAAATACTAAGCTATAGAATAAAGTAGGGAGGATGCCTCGACCTTTAGTATTGTTCCGTCCAAGCAATTCCGGCTTAGCTTCGTTTTATGCCTATTTCCAATATCCTGTCCTTGGCAGATTATACCCTTACGCCAGCCGTCACATTACCCCCCCCTAAAGAGAGGTCTAAATGCCCTTATTTAGGGAATTATTCAGCCGCAGTATAGAAAAGAAAAAAGAGGAAATAACGGCCATTAACCCCATTCCGTCTAATTCCTATAGCTTACTTATAATCGAAGTGTAGTCTTGACTCCGCCAGAATAACCCAGTTCCTAGTACGTTTCCGGCCAGTTCTCAGTATCCGTTACTCGCATTATATCTGCACCTATATCGATAATATAGTCTGGAAGTGCTATATAGGCTATAGCCAATATTGGAACTATTATTATCGGGCGGTCTTCGAATGGGGATAGCAGATCAAGTTCATCCGTTAATACAGGCTTTAATATAGCAGCTTACTTGCCTTTCTTCTTAGTTGGAATAGTAATATTTAGCTTGATTATACCGTTTCTGAGCTGCTTAATTAACTTCTAGGCCTTTTTAAGCTTAATATATATATTCTCAAGTTATTCCTCTATAATAGAGACTTATATATTAAGGGCGGCTATTTAAGCTATTTTATCGTCGAATTCCCGAGCCTTAAGCTATATAATTTTAATCTTATAAAAGCTTCTAAAGAATTTTCCGACTTTCTAAATAGTATTATATACTAATTTATTAATATCTATAGGGCATTACTTCTTTAATTCGGCCTTCAGAATTATTTACTAGCTTTTAGTTTCAGACTAGCGCTTTATATAATAACTACTATTTAGTACTATATATCTTCTGGTTATAATAGACGTCTTAATACTAGTTTAGCTACCTTTATTATAGTTAAAGTTTCCTTTATTACTAGAAGTCTTTCTGTCTTTAGTCTTTTTATTATCGGAATTCTCGCTATTATTCAATGCCTTATACTTCTTAAACGAGCTGGCCTTACTCTTTTTAATTTTCTTAGTATTTAGCTCTATAAGATTAATAAGGAAGTTCTTATTAATACCGTTTATTCCGCCTATTAAACTATTAGATTTATTATTACTAGTAATTAAAACCTCTATTTCGTTATTCTTAGAATATTCTACCAAAATATTCTTTATAGTAATTTCAGATATATTTTTAAAAGTAATATAGGCTATATTCTATATATTAATTTATTCTTAGATAAGAAAGTTACTATTTTTGTCTATAAAGATAGTTTGACTAATAGTTATATTAATAATAGTAATAGTTACTAAACTTGAGATACTACTACTACTATTTAAATTATCCAGGATCTGGTAAGTAGCCTTATTTGGTCCGGCTATAGATAATATATTACCGGAATTTCTTATCTATTTTATCTTTATTAATAGTTCTATTAAAGTAGTAGTAGTAGTATAAATAGTTAAGATTATAAAGGTTAAAGTAATTAGAAAGATTTCCCTCGATTTTTAATAATATTTCAAACTAATATAAGCAAGTATTTACCTTTAGCTTAGCTTTAAGAATTTACTTTTTTTTTGTAATTTATCTAAATAGCAAAATATAATCTAGTATAATAAAGGAAGATATTTTGCCTAGATTTCTAGAAAAGAAAGTAGATACTAATATAATAGAATAAAAGAAATATACTAGAGTTTAGATAAAATCCGGGAAATATCTAGATTTTTCTTTTTTTCTTTAATTATAAAGGCCTTATTATCGAGATTTATTATTATCTGAATAGTTTTTATTAAACTTATTCTCTTTAGTATACCGAATTCCTTTATTTAGCCAAATAGAAGATCCTGTTTTATTAAGGTTCTATTTATAGAATTTATATAGTTTAAATACTAAGTTTTTAAAGTTTAATATAAGATACTATTTATTATCTATATTTTATTTCTTCTATTTAATCTTATAATAAAGCTTACTATAAAATATTTTAAAAGAAAGAATCTTTTTGACTTCCTATTTAAGTTTACTATTAACTTTAGTAGAACTAGGCTCTTTATTAGTCTAGCCAGATAGTAGATTAGTAGAATTCTTATAAAGTCTATTTATATAGAAAATTGGCCAAATCTTATATAATAGAAGAAGATCTAATTAATATAAATAACTAACTATTTTATTAATCTTAAATAGTCTAATAAAGAAATAGTTTAATTTATTAGACAAATAGTCTATTTTCTATATCTTTTTAATTATATAGACTATATTTTCTGGACTAAAATCTAATTCTCGCTATTTCTTATTAGTTTATTTGGCTTAATACTTTTAAGCTATTACTATATATTTTCGGGCGTAATTAATAGTAATATTAATTCTTTTAGCCTACTATTATATTTCTTCCCGATTAAATTTCTCTCTTAGTATTTTAAACTCTATTATTAGTAGTATTTAGTTAAAGTTTAGCCTGAATTTATATCTATAGTTAATTATTAAAGGAAATAAGCCGGTTAATTTATATAGGCAGGCAGTGCCTATAATATTAAATACTAGAAGTAAATCTGCCTAATTATTCTAAAAGTAATTAATAATTTCTATTTATCTATTAGTTTAAGTATATTTTATAATTAAGAGCTTTAGCTTAATTCTAATTAATCTTAATAGTTTATTTATAAAGTCTGAAATAAACTAGAATTCTCAATTACTTATAATAGTAAGAGAAGAATCTCGGAATTACTAGATATAATAGTAGAATAGGCCAATAGTAGTTCTAGCTATAGTATTTTTAGTTATTAGTAGACTTATATATTATTTGAATAATTAATTAATTATAATAAATATATTATTATATTTCTTACTTATAGAGCTAGAAATATAGAAGTCTATAGATAAATTATCCTATATTCTTAGAGGAACCGGTAATAGATATAATAGGCCTAATATTTTATTTCTTAGTTTATAAGACCTTTAATATTTATAGTAATTTGCTATAAAGCAGTTAATATCTATAGAAAAAATAAGCTACTAGTAGAGTTTCTAAACTAGAATTTTTATTTTATTTTAACTGAAATATATAATAGTTATTATAGAAGTTTAGTTTATAGATTATTATATCTGTCCGGTATAATAAGCCTTTTATTATAAAATATATAGCTATTTAATATTTCTTATAGATCTATATTTTTCTGGGCTTTCCTATATTTATTCTCTAGAGCTAAATCTATCTAATTAGCTTATAGAACTTTAACTATAATAAATAGCTCGTCTATTTCTTCTATCTCGGTAAAAGTATAAGCTATATTTATTATTTTAGTAGAAGCGAGAATTAGATCTAATAGAATAACTTATCTAGTTCTTTTAATTTCTTTAGTCTATTTCTAGATTAGTATAAGCTTATTCTTTTGAAATAAAATATTAGTAATAATATTATCTTTATTTGGCTAATAAATAATCTAGTAATAGAATTCTAATAGAAAATCTATCTATTAGATTTATTATTTATTTAAGAGTCTTTTAGTACCGAAATATTTAAAAGCTTTATAGTCGGTAATAATTAGAAAATTAGGTAAGCTAATTAGTTCTACCTACTATTTTCGGAGTTTTTAGATAATAATAAGAAATTTCTTATTATAAACTTTATAGTAGCTTTTGGCTCCTTAAAAAGCTTTAAAGTAAAATAAGACCGGATACTATTATCTATTCTCTAGGCTTTTTTAAGAGAGTATATCTATAGTAGCTAGATCCGAATAGTCGGTTTTTAGGCGGGTTTTCCTATTATATTTGAAATAGAGAAGTATAAAAGCGGACAGAAGTAGATCTTTAAACTAATTAAAGGCATTTAGCTGGATTTTATTAAGTATAAACTTTAGTAAAGTATTCTTTTTAGTTAAATAGTTCAGAAAGCAGAAGATATATCTATAGGCTTAAATAAACCTATAGTAGAAGTTATAGAAACCCAAAAATAACTATATCTCTCTTTTTATTATAGGTCGGTACTAGTTTCGGATAATAGAGGTTTTAGTAAAGTCTATCTATATATCTTAATTTAAGATAATAAATCCTAAAAATATTATTTTAAAAACTTTAAATTTATATTTATAAATATTAACTTATAATCCGGTATTCTAGAGCTTCTATAGAACCATTCTAATATACTATTAATACTTCTTTTTATTCTTAGAAAAGATTAGTATATTATTAATATAGGCTAAATAAAAGTTATTTAAATAATTTATTAGAATAGTATTAATATATTACTAGAAGATTAC